GCCAATCAGCTTCTTGATGTTCGCGCGAGCAATAAAACGCATTCTTGCACCCCAAACATCGCCATAGTTTGCCTTCTGCGCCACAGACGCCACAACGATGGCGCTGCCGCAAAAGGTCTTCATCAGTTATTGTCGGTATTTTCACGTCATATCCAGGTGAGGAACCAGTATCTGAGGACTGGTTCACGGGCCCGCAAGGCTTGATGACAATGTTAAATATGTCTGGCAGCGGCTCATTCGCCATTTTGGCTTCAACATCAATCATCGGCCCATTTACGTTGCGGGAAATCAGTTCTGGACCCGCCCTTACTGATTCCCGACGTCGTTTTCCGGCTTGTTGTACTCGAAGAACATCATGCACCACGTGCATCCAGGCGTTGGTTCTGTTCGCGTTCCGCAACCGAAACAGAACTTCGCTTGCCTTGCCTCGGGACATTCAAGCCATCCGTGATCCGTCGAGAAGCAATTAAAACATTTGCCCCAGAGATGACGACATACCGGCGTCTTGGGTTTACCCTGCTTTGGGCTTGATCGGCCGTTCGAGGGGCCCTGGTAACCTCGCTGAGCTCCATTGTTGTTTGGAGGCCCTAAGGGCGGCCCTCGGTTCGCATTCATCGCCGTTTGTGAATTTATCGCAGCAACCTGACTGACCAGCATTGTTCGGCTTGTTCGTTTTATTCTGCTTCTTTTTATTCTTCTTCGTATCCTGAGAGGAATTCGACACAGCAGCAACCTGACCAACAGTACGTCTCTTTGATTCGTACTTGTCAGGTTGGTAGGCGTACTCTGGAACGACGCTCTGTTCCACGGGTACTGGCTCACGTCGTTGAATACGATTGCGGGGAATATCAACCGCTCCCACGTACTCATACAACTCTTCGAAGTTGTTAAAATCGTATCGCTCGAACTTCTGATGGTATTCCGGGCGTAGACCATTGTATGCGAAGTCCAATTGATCCTTCAATGGCAATGGATCGTCTACGCGCGACCACAGCGCGATCACGGCGTCTAAGAAGTCTAATCCCATCTCAAGCTTCCCTTGAGTACGCGTAATAACTTCCTATTTGATTCTGCATCCGACCGATGGTTCTCCAAAACGTCGACGCAACTTGGATCTGAACTGGGAATACGATGAAACACGACGTTACAAAATTACGAAATTACAATTAATTTCAAATTAACAAATTGCGACAATACTTCGAAATTAATTTTAGGTTGCGGAGCGCGCAAAAGCGTGTCTGTATACGTCAACAGTCCAGCCTCGAATCGTCTTCTTCATGGAGGAGTACCAACTTCTTCCTTCATTGAAGTTAGCGGCACTAGTCTTCATTTCCATTGGAATTGATCCCCGTCGATAGTTGATCGAGGTCCGTTTAACAGTCAACGGACCTTCACGACAGTTTTTAGTCACCTCTGATCCTGCAGTACTGACTAACCAACTGTCATCGATGGTAATCGTCATATTCAAACATGCGGCAATGCAGCGTCGATTGTCCTCAGACCTCTCGAGTGCTTACGCAGCTCGGTGCCTCGTCACTTCGGTACTCGCTTCGATACTCGCTTGCTTACGGCGTAGCTCCATCCTTGTCGCTCCAATGCACAACCTTCTACTCGTTGTGTTTTGTCAAAAACTATCCAATGCGGATAATTCCCGTAATTGTTTTAAATTATACGATAAAGTTGGGATTAGAAAATTAAATAATAATACTTGGATTTTTTGGGGAACAACTTAGAAGAATTTATTTGTCCCCAAAGGAGGAAAACCCAGCTAGGCTGGGAAAAAACCTCCTTGATGAAAATTATACAAGTAAATTGTGTATGTGTAAGTGTGAATGTGTAAAATTACGTTGCAATAACGCAATAGAGATGAGCTCAGCCGCCTTAGATAGAAAATTATCGATAATTTGAATTAGATAAGTCCCAAGGTGGGAGCTGGTAATATCTAATTAATTTGAACTGTCTCAGAGTGAGAGCTATTAATGTTCAATTGTCTCTAGGTGAGAGCTAATAATATTCAATTGTCTCTAGGTGAGAGCTAATAATATTCAATTGATAACAGAATGTTAGTCAATTGAGTTTGATGTTTATCGTGTAGAAATTAGTCAAATGATTTGAAATTGGAATTTAATTATTTATAAGTTAAATTAAATAAGATCGTAATTAAATGTTAATAATTGATTTAATGTAATTAATTGTTAATATCACGCGTCAATTATGGATTGACTAAAGCCGCGTGGTTGATGCAATCCTTTGTTAATGGTGGCGCGTAATGGCCGCGTGGCGTCACTAAATAAATTTACTTGATTTTATTTATTTATGTTAATTCACTGAACTATTAAACTGATTTAAATGAATTGAGAATTTAAAGTATAATTGAATCTACTATAATTATTTATATTTAATGAATAATTTAAATATTTGAATGAATGTGAGATGCAAATAAGAATTATCAGAATTGATTAGCACAGAGTAGTCGTACTAGTACAAAGTCCAAGCACAACTGTTGCAGCAGACCACGCGAGCCGGCTTCTCTACCGCTAACCAAGGCGCGCATGCGCGACGGCCATAGCGTGATACGATTATTCCCGAGTTCATACGATTATTCCCGAGTTTTAACGATTAAGCCCGAAGGCGTAATTTCTCTTATAAGTATTTGACTAGATCTCTTTTCTAGCGGTTAAACACGCTGTGACTCGCTCTGTCTTCGTTACTAGTCCAGCGTTACGTATTTTACACAAAATAAATTCATAAAAATTAGTACAATTTTCATTCATTCACACATAACATTCACGACGTTGGATTCGAGCCTGGAATATTATAATACCCCAAGTATTGGGCGTCGAATAAAAATTTACCACGTTACAACACCCTTCCCCAGACGCACAATACCTTTCGTAGCGTCGATTTCTGTTCGGGTGAATCAGCAAATAAAAAAAAAACAACTTCATTTCAAATTTCAACTCGCGGCAACTCCGCGAGAATCCAACGTACAATATTATGTGTGTTGATTCATCAATAAATAAACAACAGTCATAATTCACAGCTAATATTCACTCAACCACTCGTACTTCGCAGTAATTAAACATCATGGTAGTCATCGTCGCAAATAAAAGAAAAAAAAAAAAGCGAAACATCGCAAAATGTAATGAAACTCGACTCGTACCTCGACTTCACATCGGACAACAAAACTTAACATCGATAACTTCGGCATCAAAATAATCTAACTCGCTTAACTCAGTCTCGATCCAGCAAGGCCATAACGACAGGCCCACGTACTGAAACTCACCTCAAAAGAACAAGTTGATCAAAACTCAAGTACCTTCGCTTATATATAATCTAACCACTAAAACCAAGTCGATAATAATATGACCAAACTAAAAATAAGAACAAAAAAAAAAAAAAAAAGAAGGAGAGAGGGAAATTTCAACTGAAAAACTTCAAGACTTTTTTTTTCCTTTTACTATTTATTTCAACTTTTCATTTTTTTTCCTCTATGTTTCAACTATATATATATTATTTTATTAAAAGTTGTATCCTACTACAATTACTACTCTGTGCAAGCTGAATACTACTTTTCTTCTCTCTTCTTACACGCCTTACACTCACTTGTCCGTTCCTTCAATTGAACGAATGGCGGACGTAGTCCTCCAAAGAAACGTCGCTCAGCAAAAATCTGATACCCTACGAAGATAAAATTTCAAAATGAATAATTAAAAAATTAAAACATTCAGTATAATAACTGCGTACAAAATCAAGTCTAGACTTACTTCTGTGTCGGAAAGGGTTATATTCAAATTCGATCATGGCCGCCCTCAACCTCTCTATATCGGTAATATTGAGAGTAACGTACTCTTCAAACCGCCCCGTTGACGTAGGGCCTTGCTCCAGCAAGAAGAAGTACGTCACGGCATAAGCGACCTCCGGAGCAACAGGTCCAAATAAGAAAACCAGATCTCCAATAACACATAAGGCTCTCTCAGGAGTGAGCGGCCCCATTAGCTCCCACAAAAGCTGAACTCCACGACGTATGTCCTTGAAACAAAATTAAAAATTACATTCAAAAATTTTTTTTTTTTACACAAAACAAAACCAGTTTTAATAATAATATAATTTAGTTAATCATTACTTTTTCGCCATATACGGCAGTTACGTACGTGAACGACGTCCCATATCCTTCATAATTTCGGCTGGTAGGAATCATGCAATTCTTTGCACTAACACTTGACACCTTGCCACGTTTCGGTTCAGAAAACGCTTACTTGCTAAATTATAATGAGCTGGAAAATGTAATATTTAAATCCAAACCAGATGACTAATCTTAGTTACCATAAGAATCATAATACTTTTATAACTATGATCATAAGTATTACACAGCCGCAAATAAAACAGCAAACCTTGCAATAAGTAAGGTAAGTGACCCCTCTATCGGCCAGTTAAGCGAACTTTTTTTTTTAAGTAAATATTTTAAATATAAAATATGAATATATTCATAAGATTATGATGTAGATGACAAGCTTACATATTCAGCTTCATATGGAAACAAAAAAATTATAAATTTATTTATCAGATAATAAGTAATTAAAGAAAATAACTTTGATTCCTGATGTCCCCTCTATTGGCCGACTTGTCCCCTCTATTGGCCTAGCTATGTCCCCTTTATCGGCCACCTTATTGAAAAAAATTCATTATTAAAGAAGTAAATAAATATAAGCTTGAATTGATTATAGAAGTTAATAATTATTATTATTATTAAGTAAAATACAACATTAAACACAAGTAAAAAATATTTCAATTTTACAATTGAGTTTTTTTTATTTTTTTCAATTTTTTCTGTTCTTTCTCGTCAGCAATTTTTCGTTTTCGCTCTTCAGCAGCTAATAATCTTTGCTTTTTTCTTTCATCTGCAGCTAATTTTTTAGCAATTGCAGTTTCTGTCCTTTTTATTTTTCGCTCTTCGACTTCTGCTATCTTTTTCAATTTTTCTTGTTCCTTGACTTCTTTCAAGTGCTTCCATTGCAATGAAGAAATAACAGAAGGCTCTTTATCCTTAGGTTTTCTTTTCTTTTTTTTTTATCAGTGGCTTTGTCAGGCCAAAATAGCGCTTCTCGAAATGATAGTGGAAAATTTTCATTGACATTAAAGCCTTTATTCACAAAATTGTCAGTAGAATTTTCTTTATTTTGAACAATGAGCTGCTGCTCTTCTACTAAACTAGTCTCTATGTTCCCCGAAAGCGTTTCGTTGTTTTCTTCAATTCTTGAATCCTCAATTGATAAAGAATTTTGGACGTGTATATTTTCAAGAACGGTCTGTTCTTCAGTAGGATTGTCTTCAATTTGGATTCTGATCTCATTATCTATAAATAAACAAATATTTTCAATTAAAATAATAATAATATATTAACATAAGGAAGTATAGTTAAATTTTTAGTATAAAGTCTAAAATAATAACTTACCAGGTTCATCATGAAGATTTTCTGCCTCAATTATTATTAAGTCATTGTCGATGGCTATCTGCATAGCATTTTCTGAAGCTTGCTGAGGCGTAAGTTCATCCAAAAATTCAAAATCAATATTATCGTTATTACTACGTAGTAAAACACCATCAGTGTCAAGGTCTTGAGCCGAAGTACTCGCAATACTCTCATTTATAATATTCTTTAACGCAGACGAGGAATCTATTTTCAACAGAAACAAATAGTAGGAAGAAAAGAAAAAAGAAAAGTAAGAACAGAACCTTAGAACCGATCACTTAAAAAAGAAGTAATAATTAAAATAAAATATAAGGACAATTATTAAATTAGAAAAGAATAAATGAAAAAAAATTACTTTTCATAGACTTCCAAACCATAAAAAGACTTGAGTCTTTCAAGTCACCGTCCCACTCTTCATCATCATCGACTTCTTCAAACTTTCTCAACGTAACTGGATCAATATACTTCTCCATAGCTGTAAGTGCATGATGATCTTCACTTTGTGGTGATGCATTATCTTGCTCTTCATTTCCTTTAGTTTTATTTCTTAATTTATTATAATTTATAGCATCTGCTGAAAATGGGTGTAAGCCAGTAGTTTTAAAAGCATTTTTCATTATAGATCTTATATCCAGAGTATCAACAGCACTTTTTAACAAAGTTGTAAAATTTTCTTTTGTTATTTTATTTCCATTATTGTTCATACGCCAATCAGTTACCACTTTCCGCCAAGCAACCTTTAAAGGATGAAAAAAAGCAACATCCAATGGTTGTAGGATGTGTGTCGCGTTAGGATGAAGTGCAATCAAAACTATCTGCTTTTCACGACAAAAATCACTCACCGCCATCGTCAGATGAGATGAATGTCCATCAATATATAATATCACAGGGAATTTGACTTTATTTTCCACAAGCCATGGATAAAAAATATTTGCAATATACTCATAGAAATTTTCTCCATTCATCCATCCATTATCTGACTTACCAGCGGCCCAGCCTTCTGGCATATTTTCTCGAATACTATTCGGGACTCGTTTATATGAAAATATTACTAAAGGAGGAGCTAATTGACCAGACGCACTTGCTACAAACAGAGTCGTTAAACATTCATTATCATCGTTTTGAATGATATTGTAAACACTTTTTTCGCCTTTTTTAACAAAAACTTTTTGACTTTTTGGATCCAACATAAATGCAGATTCATCACCGTTGAAAACTCTATTACCGTCGATTTCGAGCAATGATTTCAAGACCAGCTCTTCTTTAACTTCAGAAAACCATCTACGAATACCAGATTCAGAAATAGCGGCTCTGGATATCGTTAAATTTTGTGCAATTCGTTCTGAAAGTTGTGGGTGACGAATTAAAAAAGCCGTAAGCTAGCTACGACCTGGAACTCCATCCTTAAAAGGATGCTCTCTATTCTTATTCGCTAGAGTGCTGAGAAGCATTTTGACACTACCAAGTAATTGCGTTTTAGAGACGGGAAATCCATTCTCGCTCATTAACATCATCCAGGAAATTAAATGCTGCTCTTCGTCTCTGGTCAAGACTGTCTCTGGACCCCCTTTCTTGATTTTAGGTGATGTTTCTTTCACTTTAGAGTTTAGTGTTGATCTGGGTATGCTATATTTCTTACTGATAGCTCGAACAGATTTTCCCTGTTTTATTTCTGCAACTGCTGACTTTAGCTGTGGGACTGTATACTTGAATCTTTGTGCTTCTTTTTTTTTTGTTTTCACCATCGTAAATCTGTTAAACAAAATTTATTCATTAATTTTTTATAAGTAGAGCAATTCAAAACTTTAAAATTTAGTATAAAATTAAATTAAATGATCCTAAAAAATTAGATTAGATATTTTATGTAAATACACTCCTAACCTTTAAATAAACGAAAATGGACCGGCCGATAGCACACACGGAGATGATTTTCTTGTCCCCATGCTTGGCCGGCCTATTTTCTAATACAAATAGATTAAATTTCATTTTTTTTTTCTTTTTTTAACATTATTTTGAATAATATCAATCGAGTTAAAAAGAAAAATTTAATTGTTATTGTTATTTTAAGAGTATAATACCATGTTAAAAAAAAAGGAATTCTTAACCTACCTGACAAGAAATCACCAAAATTGAGAGCTGTCACAACAATAATTTTTTTTTATCTTAAAATAAATAATAAAAATTTTTAGAACGTATTTTTTCAAATACTTTATAGATTAAACTTTGTTTTAAAAAACTTTTTTGTCGAATATTTGCATTCAAGCCGTTGTCAGCGTAACTTTTTTACTAAGTGGCCGATAGAGGGGGCCTGGCCGATAGAGGGGTCACTTACCTTAGTAGAACATTTGAAAACCTACTAACTGCGATTATTAAATAATAGAGAAATCTTTAAAGAAATCTCTACATGAGTATAAATTTTTTTAAGAAACTCAATGAAATTACGAAATTTTTTTTAGCATAATGACGATATAACCTTATTGAATTAAAAAATAATAATAATAATTATAATAATGTTTATTTAGCTATTCAGCTATGTACAAGTCGTTTACAATTTCATTATGATAATACAAATATACATTAATTACGTTTCATGCTATCAAAGAGTCCTATATTCTCTTTCACATATTTTTTTAAATAAATTTTAGAAATATTAATTCTTTAATACAAGTATTTATTTATTAATAAAAAAAAAATAGACAAATACAGAGAATACTTATGCCCGAAAGCGTTTCAGTATACCCGACAAGCCCGGGTACTGGCTCATATATAAAAGCATACACATTTCTTATTTTCCTACTTTTTTTTTATCTCACACTTCCCTTTTTCTTTTTCCCCTCCCTTCCACTCCCCTTTCTCACTTTCCCTGTTTGTGTGTCCCGACTTCCGATTTGCAGATTTACTCTCCTGAACTTCCCGATTCCCTTCCTCTCACTTCCACCTATTTACTCTTAACTCTTTTCCTCCACTCTGTTATCCATTTCAACCCCTCTGCCTTTTCCTCCAGTAGCCTGTCCACCTTTTCCTCCCACATAGGCATTTTCCTGCACCTTTTCGCTATATGTTCTAAAGTTTCGATTTCACTACCACAGAGCCTGCACATCTTCTCTGCCTCTTCCATCCAGTACCTATTACCCAACCATTTACTTCCCGTTCTGATCTTTGCTATTTCCCTCTTTTCATTTACTTTTAAGCCCTCTTCTCTTTTCCAGTACTCCGGAATCCCCTCTTACACTAACTTTTCGTAGTCTTTATTAAATCTCGACTCTTTTATCTTAATTCTTCTTTTCTGTTTTTGAGCATCTCTATCTCTTTCTCTTATCTCTATCCATCGTCTATTCTCTCCCACCCACTCCAATTCTATCCCTAGCGAGGACCATCCAGAACTGTTTAGGTAATTTTCCCCCTCTTCATCTCTTATTCCTCCGTCTCTTTTTACCTTTCCTCTTTCCGTCATAGACCTCAATAAATTCCTATTTGCCTTTAGTTTCGCCTTTCCCTCAAACTTAAAGGCGTTTGCCTTTGCTTTTACTCTCAGCTTGTCCATATCCAGTTCCTCTCTCACTATGTATCCCGGCACTGACGTCCCTGTTCCCATGATCCATCTTCCATACAATTCTTGAAGGCTTTGTACCTCCTTCCTTTCGACCCATCTCCAAACCTCTGATACATATAAGACTATGCTGGCCACCACACTTTCAAACAGCAGTTTCCTGAATCTCCATTTTCCTTTAAACCTCCTCTCTCCTATTCCCCACACCTGTCCCATAGCTAGCTTTGCCTTTCTCACCCTCTCTTTGACATGTTTTTTCAGACTGTTGTTCCTCACAAACGTAAATCCCAAGTCGCAGAACTCCTTCACTTCTTTCACGGCTTTTCCTTCCCATAGCCATTCTAATTTCTTTTGCCTGCCCCTTCTTCCTCCTTTACTAAATCTCATTATTTTCGTTTTTTTCCACATTTACCTCCAATTTCTTCCTTCTGAAGTACCTCTCACATGTTTTTATCAACTCTTTCATTTCCTTCTCGTCATCCGCCACTACCGCAGTATCATCCGCGTATGCCAGCGACCAGGTCTTCATTCCACTCACCATTGTCCCTCCCGCCTGTCTCCTCTTACAAAAGTCTTCTAGGTCTGCCACATAAATATTAAATAGTGTTGGGCTCAGGGAACATCCCTGCCTTACTCCTTTTTCTGTCTAGAACGATTCTGAAAGTTTCCCTCCCACTCTAACTCTACTCCTTGTTTCCATGTATATTTTCCTCACTCTTTCAATCAAACCACTTTCAATTCCTATCCTTTCCATTGCTTTTATCAGTATTCTTCTGTCTAGATTATCAAAAACTCCCTTTAAATCTAGAATTAAATTTTGGTATTTGGTAAAAATTGGTACGCCCTTATGGCTCCCGGTAGGTACCCTGGGTGCTATAAGGGCGTAGCAAAAAATTTCAAATTTGAAAAAAATTTTTTTTCGTCATTTCTACGCGTTTCAAGTAAAAATACGATGTTTCCCGAAAAAAAAATTTTTTGGTACGTCCTTATGGCTCCCGATAGGTACCTTGGATGCAACAAGGGCGTAGCAAAAAATTTCAAATTTGAAAAAAATTTTTTTTCGTCATTTCTACGCGTTTTAAGTAAAAATACGATATTTCCCGAAAAAAAAATTTTTTGGTACGCCTTTATGGCTCTCGGTAGGTACCCTGGGTGCCATAAGGATGTACCAAAAGATTTTTTTGCATTTTTGCCCGTTTCAGGCATAGCTACGTCGATTCCCGGAAAAAAATTTTTTATACGCCCTTACGGCTTTTCAAGGGTATTATTTTCGAGATACGCCCTTATGGCATCAGTAACGCGATATTGCCCCAAGTTAAAACCTGGAGAAATAACAGTTGATTATTGATTGAGAAATAAAATATCAACCACAAATTGAAATTTAATTTGGTTTTAGTTTTTGTCTTAAAATTTTGTATTGAAATTTTTATCTTAAAATTTTGTCTTGAAATTTTGTCTTGAAATTTTGTCTTGAAATTTTGTCTTGAAATTTTGTCTTGAAATTTTGTCTTGAATTTTTTGTCTTAAAATTTTGTCTTGAATTTTTGTCTTGAATTATTGTCTTAAAATTTTGTCTTGAAATTTAATCTTATTTTTGATAGATTTCATAGAAATCTAACTATTGCATCGGTCTTCATGACACAAATTTAAAAAAATTTTACTATATTCCGACTTAAGTCGACAAGCTGAGTCAGCTTTAGATTTTGAAAATTTCACACACTAAGTACATCACTTTCAAATAACTTTTGAACGCGTAGAGATATTGAATTTCTGTGGAATGCATCTGGTAGCTAAGGAATTAAGCTACAATTTACATGTTTTTTTTAAATAAAAAAAATCCATCTTCGGATCATTTTTAAGAAATTTTACAAGTTTTTGACCTAAGCCCCGTTTAGAAGAAATTACGCTTGGCTGTTGATCAACATTTAAATTATCAATAAAAAATTGAAATTTATTATTGTGCTTCTTAGTATTAATCTGATTGTTCCTAGGTATTGGCTGATAATTATAGAAAATGAAATTCTCTACAAAAAAAATCCTAAGGTGTTTTGACCTTAGTCTAGCCCTGGAGAAGTTACGCTTGGTTGTTGGCTGACATGTAAATTATCAATTAAAAATTGAAATTTATCTATCAGCTTCTTTTTATTAATCTTATTATTTCTAGATATTGGTCCAGATTTTTAGAAAGTAAAATTCTGTTCAGGGAGATCAAGATAAACTTGTGACCGAAATCCAGCCCACGAAGAAATACGCTAAAATATTGCTTGGGATTTGAATTCTTTTGGTGACTCTTAATTCTATCGTCCATTTTCATTTATCGATTTGAAGAAGTCAGATACTTGCAGATAATTATAGAGACTCAACTTCTCGACAAAAAAGTCTTGAGCTATTTTGTTCTGAGTCTAGCCCTGGAGAAATTACGCTTGGTTGTTGGTTGAAACGTAAATTATCGATAAAAAATTGAAATTTATCTCTCAGCCTTTTTTTATTAATCTTATTATAGCTATATATTGGTCCAGAATTTTAGAAATTGAAATTCCCTTCAGGAAGGTCAAGATGAGCTTGTGACCGAAGTTCAGCCCAGGAAGAATTCCGCCTAATTATTGCTTAGGACTTGGATTTTTTTGGTGACTCTTGATCCCATCGTCCATTTTCATTTATCGATTTAAAGAATTCCGATACTTGCAGATAATTATAGAGACTCAACTTCTCGACAAAAAAGTCTTGAGCTATTTCGTCTTAAGTCTAGCCCTGGAGACGTTACGGTTGGTCGTTGGCTGACATGTAAATTATCAATAAAAAATTGAAATTCATCTCTCAGTTTTCATTTATTAATCTTATTATAGCTATATATTGGTCCAGAATTCCAGAAATTAAAATTCCCTCCATGAAGGTCAAGATGAGCTTGTGAACGAAGTCCAGCCCAGGAAGAATTACGCCAAGTTATTGCTTACGACTTGGATTTTTTTTGGCGACTCTTAATCCCATCGTCCATTTTCATTTATCGATTTAAAGAATTCCGATACTTGCAGATAATTATAGAGACTCAAATTCTCGACATTTCACACACTAAGTACATCACTTTCAAATAACTTTTGAACGCGTCGAGATATTAAATTTCTGTGGAATGCATCTGATAGCTAAGGAATTAAGCTACAATTTACATGTTTTTTTAAATAAAAAAAAATCCATCTTTGGATCATTTTTAAGAAATTTTACAAGTTTTTGACCTAAGCCCCGCTTAGAAGAAATTACGCTTGGCTGTTGATCAACATTTAAATTATCAATAAAAAATTGAAATTCATCTCTCAGTTTTCATTTATTAATCTTATTATAGCTATATATTGGTCCAGAATTTTAGAAATTGAAATTCCCTTCAGGAAGGTCAAGATGAGCTTGTGACCGAAGTTCAGCCCAGGAAGAATTCCGCCTAATT